TTTTTTTTTTTTTTTTTTTTTTATATAAAAAAAAGCATACAAACTTTTATTAGAACTAGGTACAAAAATAGTAGGTACATTTCTTCATTTCGTCTAAATTATCTTCCTATTACCGGCTAGCTCGCCATCGAGAAGTACGTGGACATGACTATTTTTATGTTAGGTGTCGTAGATGCGATTCGATCGGATCTTATAACGATCCACAGCATCGGGATCGGAATTTCTTATCGATATTGTCCCTCCGCCGTATTAGCCACGTGTGTATTTTATAGTGCGTATTGAAAAAAAAACTATGTGAAAAGAAAGTAGAGTAGAGGTGAACTAAGTGTTTGGAGACAGAAGAATGAGGGTGTGTAATTTTATGCTCGTACACGTACATATGCAATTCTAGGTTGCTGGAACGCACAATGTGAAATTGGCTTTATCACAAAAATCAAATTGTCAGGTTATGTTCAGCTGGTGCGTTTGAACCGCCTAGTCTTATGTACATTGCTCGTGCTGATATATAATTTTATATTTTTTCATTGACTTGTCAAACTTTAATCGGCGTCCGATCGAAACGTGTTAAATTATACATAACGAGCACAAAGTTCATATGGATAAAATTGATTTTGAAAATATTGATAATTCAAGTCATTCAATGCATCCATATCGTTGTTAGTCATTGTATCAAAATTTATTTCATTATTCAACGTACGTATATTAAAAGCTCTTAATCTTTCGATCGCAAAATATATATCGAACATCATTTTTTTTTATATCGACAGTCTCATTTAAATGTCTCGAAAAATTTATTCTTCTCGCAGCAATATAATTCATTCGCGTTATACCTATCTAACGTGAATTACAGGGCCGTACCTCGGGGGTCGCATTAGGTAAATCCTACCGGTAATTATACGACATGCATCTGTACACATACGAAAAATTATCTACGTATACGTAACGTATTATCCTGGGCGCGTAAAAAGTTTTTGCAAGTTACGAAATATATTGAAAAAAAAAATGAAGACAAAAAAATTAACTAGCAGCACATTTCGATCGCGTGGTCGCTCGATTGATTTATTGAAAAAACAATAGAAGCTAATTAAAAAACAAAAAAAATAAACGTCCCTCTGTACGATCCGTGAATCTAGTCGATTAAAAAAAAAAGTATGGTACATCGTAATATTGGTTACAAGAGAAATCGAACACTGTACACCAGGATTTGTTAGTGAAGCCAGCTAAGAAAAATCTACGTGATATATATTTATTTTTTGTTGTCTGTAAGTTGACCTTAATCGTTACTCGCCATACGCGATATATATATATGAAAATAATATCGCCTCGTATTTTGGTGATCCACTCAATTGCTTACGTAAGAAATGATAATATGCACTTTTGTCCAGTGATACGAAAAATTGAAAACAGCTACTTTATTGATCCTGCCGGTGGTTACAGGTATCGACGTGAATGGGAAAATATATTATGTATAATATAATACCTAACAAGGGGACGTATTATAATTCATATAGTATGTATATTTGACGCGTTGCGAAATTAAAGAAACGTATGACGTAACTAATATCCATACAAATGCACACGTACGCGTAGCGTATTGATACGTGTGTATATACATATATATACATATAAATTTTAATATGGATACGTGAAGGCATATATATATTAACAATATAAAATGTAAATTATTCACATAACATTATATCCGTGCTGTAAAAACATTATAACGATATCTGGTTTGTACTGGATAGGCCGTTGTATATAGATATTTAGACTTTATTTCATTAACTTTATTCATTTATTTATTTACTATATTTTATATAGTTTGCTGTTGGCTTCATTTCATTCTGGCTCCTCGTTGGCCTCTGAGTATTATCTTGTGGGAAATATCTATCATACGTGGGTTTTTCTTTAATATGCGCACACGTGCATCGTTGTGCGCACGTGTGCGCATAGTAGGCGCCGCGCGTATGTTATTTCGTTACCATGGTAACTTGGGAATGTATTCTTCCTCGCGTTAACAACATACACTCGTTTAATCTGTAATATTAATTTTAACGACGTACAAACTAGAAAGTAGCATGAAGACGCAACGAAAAGGAAACAAAAAATATCAAAGAAGAAGAGTATAAGGAGGGAGTACGTTGAGTATGTAAACGGTAAAAAAAATATATATATATACAGTACAAAGAGAAAGTGCGAGGAGTTAGAGGGGAAGACAGAGAGGGACAGTGAGTGGCTGAGTAATTGATTAGGTCCGACGTAAAATTGAGTATTGTAAAGAGAGAAGAAAAAAAAAAATTTTTCAGTTTTACCGATAATACCAGTCACAGTCAAATCTCATGGAATATTTGTGAACTCCCGGGAAACGAGGGTTTGTACATTTTTTTTTCTTTTTTTTCCTTCAAATTCCACTCTGATTTACGTATATCAGATGCGACTAGCAGACGCGAATGAGTTTGCTCTATGGGGGTGCGCCACACCTAGCTTTACCTTTAGAAGGTTAATAGGCTAGGTTTGCACACGACAAGGAACAATATATTAGCATGGATAACGTGTATACGTCGCCATCTTGCTACGGTTTAGTCACTTCGATTCGCTTCGATTGACTAGCCTCGGCGAAAAGGCGAATCCGAAATTGACGAACGGATCGCCGAACCGTGACGTGGAATTAGACACTGCAGGTTCGCGACTTCCGACTACCTCAAGGGTATCTCGACTTGTCGTCAGAGTATTGGTTTTATATGCCTATAATAATTGTATAGATATATGAGAGAGCAAACGGGTAAGATAATCTTATTTGAAATTGGAGAAAGCAGGATAATTCTGATGTACTATGGGTATCCCCATTACGTATAAGGTGACGATCCATTAGATGCTGGGAGATGTATAGTCGATTCAAGATAATTATTTGAGGCTTATCGAGGGGACTGTCTTGTGGGGAATCCCGTTAGATTTTGGCCCCTCGGAAAAAAGTGTGAATAAATTTGTATCGAGTTTTATATGTTTTTTTTGTAGTGCTAATTTTTCTTTTTGGCCAATCAATTCATTTTGGTATTTGACTGTGGTACATTTGCAGCGCACATTATTTTTTTATTCTTCTCTGAAATTTTTGTGATTTTATCTTCGTGTGAGTCTATGTATTTGTCAAGTGCTTTGTTACTGTAGTATACACGTGTACTTGTCTCTTGGGCATATTCAGTTAAGTTAGGTATGGATTAATGGACGGATGGGATAACATATGTATATTGGCAAGATGGCCATACGTATCTATGCTGGCGCTTTTGTTACTGTTTGAACGAATTCGATACGCTTTCGGTTATTCTTGCGATGGTATCTTCTGCCTTTTCTTTTTTTTCTTTATATTTCTCTATGTATTTTCGGTCGCCTGTACTAGATTCTGCATCTTGTAATTTAGGTCGACGCGACTGCCACCATTCAAGGGACTCTGTTACGTCGTAACCCGTAAGTGATTGGCCCCTCAAAAATATACCGATCTTCAATTTTAATTATCGTTACGGTGGGCATCGCCGAACTTTATCGGATATCTGGTAATTTTTATGTCTGATTAATTTTCACGATATTTTTTTATTATCACGATTTTTTTTTCTATCTCTTCGAAATTATACCACTGCGATTCTTTGTGTCTGGCTTGCGTAATGCTCTCGAGACACCAGAGGCAGAGAATCGAGAGCGAGAGAAAATTTCAGATCCGCACGACTTCTGCCGATTGACCCCGTCTTCAAGAAATCATGCAACGCTCTCGAGGTCATGCCCTTAAAGCGGGCATTGCACGCGAGCACGATTCCCACGTGGATGTGTGCAAGGTTCGATAGTTATATACCATTCGCATGAAAATTGCCGCAGAATCTAATAAAAAGTCCCATTCGAGGTACGTATTAAAAATATTTTTAAAAATTACCCCCGCAATGCCCACCTCGCTCAAAATCAGTTCGATATGGTTTCACGATAACGCTGGTAAAGTAAACTGACTGAAAAGTCTTCGAAAAATTAGATACAGTTCCGACACAGCTGTTTTCAATCGCACAGCAAATCCAGCCGCAAGAATTGGCCGCGAGTGGCGCTAGAGGAGGTCGCGAAGATAATGAATGTACAAAAGCAATAAAGAAAAAATTTACTAGGGAGGAAAAAAATGAAAAGACGTAACGGAGCAGCTGGAGGGACGTGAAATTCTGAAAATGGCGCTATATCGTAGTCGGGGCAGTTTAATCTCGGTGACGTTGATAATCTCATGACAAGGAATCGTACTGTTTCCATCAGCCGATAACTCAATATATAATAACTTACTTTCGGGCACGCGATTTTACTGTCTGATCGATTTCGATTTTTTTTTTTAATCCACCCAAGTACTCAACACCGTTCTTCACGCGAATCCGTCAATTTTTCGAAAGACAACGTGCGACGATCCGAGCTGAACGTAATTCGGTGTACATATACATATATATATAAAAAGACACTCAATGTATAATTAAGTGATTCAGCACGTGACGTAAGGCTACCGCTACGTAAAATTCATTGCATATCTACGCACTCCTCTAATCACTCATTGAGTATGTATCTAAATCACAGCTCATGCTACTAATAACTTCTAAAAATATTCGCACAATTATCCTTTACTTAATTAGATAGATTATCCGTTAAATTCTATATATCATTATTATCTCGTATTAATAATTATATATATATATATATATATCATTGTCATTATAATTATTGCCATGGTACTCAATATCATCATCGTCGTTATCGTTATCGTCCGTTTAATCGTCAATCGTCGTTAAACCTCGTCACAGTAATTATAATCGTCGTTGTCCTCGTCGTCGTGACAAATGGACCGTCTTAGGAACAAAATTTCATAACGTCATTCACGTAGGAGTCTGCCTATCAGCCGATAATCTATAACATTAGAAAGCTGACCGAAAAACGCCCGACGTTTCTCGGCAAATCTTTTCGATACGTATATATATGTATATACACATACGCGTATACCTATATATATCTATATACATAATAATATATGTATGTATATATATACTTGTATAAATGCATAGTATATAGGTACATACACTATCACCTTCGTTAGAAGGGCAGAGCTCATCTCCCTATCCAAATAAATTAAGTATCATACAGCATATGTATTTTGATAAATTCGATTAAAACGATCTCTCTCTCTCTCTCCCTCTCATTCAGTCACTCTCTTTCTTTGCTATAATTAAATTATGTATTCTCGCGTTCCCAGAGGACTTTGGCCCTTTCGAGCTTCTCCGGATCTTCTTCGACGTGAATCCCGATCCGTGGATCTGACCCCGTTCGTACAGTTGTCCAAGTCGTGCAGCTACGAGCGTCACTGACATCGAGATCAATGTCTTAAGGTTAAGGTCGGAGGTTGGTCGGAGGATCCGTAGAGTCGACAGCGGATGCAAAAGATCTGCCAGGTTCGATACAGTACGTGGAGTGAAGCCGCAAACCTCTGGCACGCTCCTTGGAGAAGACCGGAAGAAGCTGCAGCTTTCAGATGTATCGTCTGAGTGAGGTCAAGGTAAAGCTCCACTTGGACCTTGTATAAATACCGTAATTATTGTTAATAAAAATGTCCCGAATTCTTGGATCTCCTTATGCTAGGCCTAATTCGACGAGACCATCTTCGAGAGAGTCTGGTTATCACACGGATGGCGCTCACCTAACCTCTTAACGTGCTAAAGCGTACGGAGCTTAAGGTCAGGCTTACGTAAGAGAGCAGGAAGAAGAAGAAGTATCGTTGACACGGTAAGAGTCTGGCAAAACTAACTAGAGGGATTGCAGCTTGGATCCAGATTTACGTGAGTCTGATTTCTGGTACCCGACGAATCCGTCGAGGGATTCGAACTGGTGGCGCCACTCGCGTTACCGTTACTCGAGGAGCTACTCGCGTTGGCGACGTTGGGCTTCTGCGCCACGTGGGTCTGGTAATGCTTCGCCAGGTGAGCCTTCTGCCGAAAACTCTTACCGCACAACGAGCATGCGAACGGTTTCTCGCCCGTGTGAGTTCTTATGTGAACGTTCACGCTGTACTTGTCCTTGAAACCCTTGCTGCAGATGCTGCAGTAATGGAGAGATCTCTCCTTGCGCTGAACGCTGCCCGGCGAGCCGCCTCCGCTTCCCGATTGCTGTTGCCCGCCGCTGCCGCCGCCAGCGCCACCGCCGCCACCACTGGAACTGCTGTTACCGCCGCTGGAGTTGTTTCCATTTCTGTTCGCCCTGCGACAATACTTCTTAGGCGGTTTTGACGTCCCGGTTGTCGCCGATACCCTCCCCGTCGAAATCTGCATCTGACTCGACGGCTGCTCAGCCTCTGCACGCGGTGCACTTTGCTGCATGACTTCCTGCTGCGCCGCGGTCACGACTGTCACTGCACTAACCTGACTGAGATCCGCGGGTAGGGTGATCGTACCCAGGCTTCCACTTGCCGGGTCCAGGGTGTACATAACCGTCGTGGTGGCCGAGACGTTGCAAACGGGCTCAAGATTACAGTACGATTCCACCACCTCGTTTGCGATACTCTTTAATTTCTCATAATCGCCAGGGCGATAGGTCGTCGCGTCCAGTTGGGACAGTAGAAGATCCTCATCGGTGCAGGGATGTATGGACTCGTCTTGCTGATGATCCATCATTTGTAAGGTGTTGGGATTAGAGTTAGTACTCTGCATTGACATGGTTGGGGCCTGGGAGGAGGATGACGACACGACCTGGCTAGGTCCAGAGTAAAGTTTACCCTGGAGAGCACTTCGAAGCAGACTCTCGGCAGAGTCACCAGCCGCACCCGGGGCTTCCTGCAGATGATTCTGATCGGAGAGCTTCCAGTCGTTGTTGTTGTCCCCGGTAGTAGCCGACGATGCTCTCCCACAGATTTCTTTGCTCTCGACGAAGCCACTGTCCTCGGTTGAGTACTGGGACGATGGTACCGGCATCGCGTGAAACCTTTCCGTTCTGGAACTTTCTGCACTCTGGTCGTGGTCGTGTTCGCCCGTGGGCTCCAGGTTCAGTATCGCGTCCAGGTCCAGGTTCGGTCTTAGAGTCCAGGAGTCTGTCGACGGTGCTGCTGGACTCTTACAGCAGTCCAGGGCGTCCATCGAGTTCGCTTCGTTGTTCAATACGGTAAGAGTGTAAATAGCTCCATCTGTATTTTGTCTATCGTTAACGGTGCATCCTCGCGACACGGGATCATTTTGTACGACAGGATCCCCATGAGGATGACTCTGGGTATTTGTGTGCGCTGACCAGCAGTACTTGTTAAGATCCTCCAGGAGTATGTTGCAGGTCTGCTCCTTGTTATCGTCCCCCCAGTAGTCGCAATCAGACTGGTCCATGGTGACGTCGGTGTTCTGAACATTACAGATGTGATTGCGATGATGATGATGAGATAACGAGCCGGTTATAGTGGAAACAGGTGGCAGAGCGGTGAGTGTGTTATTATTTGTTTCCTTTATGAAGGAAGAGTGAAGATTCCGCGTTTCATGATCCTCGTGACGAGGATCCTGCAGAAAACTAACTCCGATGCTCCTGCAGGATCCTCTGTGAAGGAAGCCTTCCTCGTCGGAGACCCCGTCAGCTGATGGACAGTGCGGCGGCGGCGACACGACGAAATCGAAGAAATCAGTCTTTGCGAGCTCCTCATTGGGACCACCTGGTGCAAATGCTTCCGTGATGTCCATCCTGCTGAAGAGTGTCTTCCTCGCTGGATCCTGCTACCTGCGCAGGTTATCCACCCGGTGATCGGACCTTGGCAGGATCCTTCCAAAGGATCACTCGCGGTTCCAAGGCGGTCTTCTTCTTGTACTTCTTCAGAAACTCGTATCCCTCCGCCCGTCTGACCACCGCATCCTTGTCCCGGAAGTCTGCAAGAGGATGGATCCAATGGTTACAAGAGGTGAAGAAAAAAAAAAAAAGAAGATATATCAGGCCAACTTACTAGAGGCACGTGCAACAGGGCATCAAGGAATCTAACTACAATCGACGTGCTCAAAGACTAAATGATCTAAGCTTTCGTATACGTAATAAAGAATACAACTATTGCGTGTGTCGTGCTCCATATTTTATGCACGTTGCGCAGAGCACCGTTCTGCTCATAGAATAGGATTGGCTAGGATCGGTACCAGCCAGCCACTAGGCCGAAGACCAGCTCTCGGCATACTCCAGGCGTGGGAACGCACCGTGCCCGCGTATAAATTTACTATAGCCAAGCCGAAGCCAGCAACCAGCAGCAACGGCGGCGACCAGGCAGTATGTAGAGGAGACACGGAGAGGTAAGTGCAAGTTGCGCAACTTCTTCCAAGCAATCCTATAACGCACTGTACTAAATTAATCCTACTACAGTGTGATATATATATATATGCGTCAGTTAAATGCCAGCCGGTAACAATGATCAGTCTCAGCCGTGTTCTACCCGGATGTCCGAGCACTGCATCCGCCTTGATTTAATACCCGAGGAATAAGCGACTGCGCTTTAAGTCGCTTCGATTGATATTCGCTTACGTGAATATCAGGCTGCAAGCCAGCCAATATGTGCCAGTGCAGATATCGGCAATCTTAAAAGGTGAACCCGGATGTCGCTCAAGAAATTTCACAATGGGAACGAGTCAATCGACTGGTACCTATATCGGCCAGAAATCTCAATGGCGTATTGACCGATGTCGATGATTTGAGTAAAGCCACGAAACTGCATTTCTTCAAATGGAAAGTCATCGCATACACTTTTCAGATATTTTTTTATCGTATCCGACCGAAGGGACTGTAAAAAGAGCTAAGAACTACTGTGCCGAATGGTTGACCACGGAGGTTCAATCCGAGTCGTGAATTCGGGTCGAAGGGGGATCAATGGGAATGATGAAAGAAATTTTTGAATTGAGGCCAATTCTGCCGAAAAGTTTGAGGAACACTGAAGTGCCAAATCGAGATCCAAAAGTATTATGGAGAGTTAATCATCGAAAAGTATCTTCGAGGGTGACCTGTTATATTTACAGTAGGTATGTGTATATATATATATATACATATGTAGACAGTCTTGTGTACACAGAAAATGCTTGACCAGGAATCGGTAAAACTTTACGGTCGGCTTTATATGCCGTAATAACACGTTGTATGTTCGGTTTATCGCTTCATTCGCTCAATAATTTTGCCAAGGTGTTTCCCATACCCCGTGTCTCCCACTCTGTCTTACCCGCTTCTTCTTTTCCTCGTTTCGTTTTATTCCTGCACAGTTTCCGTAATGATACTCTCCGTACCCTCTCTCGCACCTCCGCGAGCATTCTATTGGAAGTGTCATTTTTATTACTTTATTCTTCCTGCCCAGACTCCTGGGATCATCTGGTCCCGTACGAAGTGAGGCCTTGGGGATACAGGTAGGACTTCTTGCTGGTGCTGCAGTCAAGGTGCATTAAAGAGAGGGAAAAAAAAGTCATCCAATGGAGCAGAGCGGCAAGGTTTCAATTCTTCGCGTTAGACGTGGAATTGACTTGAAACCGCAAATGTTATTTACAAGACACTCTGAGTTACGCGGAATCGACCAGTCGAAGAACTGCAGATCGTTTAGCTTCTCTCGTGCTGTTAAGGCGAACGGAGTATAGATATATATGTGATTTATGATTATTAAGGGAAAAAAAATTAAGAAAGGGTCCTTAAATCATCTGTAGAATACTTGAAGGTGGTTACTGTCTTGACTTTGATCCTTTAGGACTTTCTCTTTCATCCACAGAATCAGCAAACGTGAATCTGCTTGAAAATGTTCTCGTACGTGGTCCAGTGCCACGACCTTGATTCACTGAAATCGATAGATACTCTCTCCAATCGATAAAATATGTGTTACAATGGGTGACATAGACGAATAGAATCAGGCGGTATATGGTGACTTAACCTAACCCACGAAATCGGCCAGATATTCAGCAGCAACCTTGTTCCGTTCCTTGTCACTGGGAAAATAATCTGCACCTGCCAATTCCGAGCTTTCTCTGTTCGGCTGCTGGTTATTAAGACATCATTTGGACGTGATTAAAGTGTAATTAAAAAATTACGAAATCGCAGAGTACTTGAAGCATAGACCTCGTAACACACTTTATAGACAATTGGTCAGCTGGCAGTAGCAGTTGCTTGGATTCGAAGAAACTGATTGCGAGACATGCGACTATGCGGTGAAATTCTTATTTACTTTCCGTCGTCTGGTCTTCCTAGTTACATTTTCAATTCCATTCCTCTTACCGTTTCACTCTCTCCTATGGGAAAATTATATTGCCCGTCAGTCCTGTCAATGTTTACGACATATTTATAGCATATTCATCACGCCAGAACACGAAGACGTTCTGTATATTTTTATATACCTGTAAGACAGAATGATTCTTCATGACGTATCCGTGTACTCATACTTGATATACGTATATTTGTATAACTGTACTTTCTACTGTAGCATTATAAATTTTCAAACTTCCCGCTACTTATCCACGAACTTTGAACTATTCCAAGGTGCTTGTTTCGGTACGTAGATCGTGAGCTCATCGTGATCTACAATGTTCTGCCGTTCTCTAATGGTCAAATGTATTGGGTTAGAAAAAAAATTCCAAGGACGTGTCTGCGTGACACTTTAAGGCTACGGGTACCGTTCCACGGCAAACAATAAACCGGAGTCTTATAAAATATAGTCTCGAAGGCTACACCCACGCGAATGTAGTACTACACTGAATTCTCGATAAGCTGGCTAGTCTTGATAACAATGTAATATACGTATTGTGAGACGTAGGAAACGGATACTCGGCCCAATTCCTTCGAGTTACATGCGTGTAGAGCAGCAGCGCCGGCAGCAGCAAAAGCCAAGAGCAGCGCCAACGGCGGAACGCAGAAGCACTTAAAGCCGCCACGCTACACTTATGAAATAGTCGGTAATGCGAACGCAAAGAATAGCAGGAAGAGGGTCGGGAGAAAGAAAAATTAAAGTAAGGCGCTAAGAAGACAGTAGTAAAGCATGGTTAGAGGATATCCTTGATGAACGATACGAATATCTTTTCCGCGTAAAACGAAGCCACGCTGTTGACTCAAAAATAACAACTTTTCTCAGTGTATATAATTTCATCAAAAAAAATCCAAGAAAAGGTATGAATGTCGGTCAAACAGAGCTGGCGACATTTTCTGACGGTGGAAGTTCTTGCGCCAGTTAGTGCCGTCCAGCAGAACTTTTGCCACATTAACAATGGCGTCTCCGCCACTCGTATTTGTCCGTCATAACTGCTACCACGAGCACTCCGTTACGAAGAAAAAAATTCTGCGAATAATTGACGCTGGGAATAATAGACAATTAAAGACTTTCCGCGAAACCATAAAAGTCTTTTCTGTCATTAACCACAATTTTGTTTTTATTTAATACCAATGGATTATCTTAGTGTGCCAATTGACTCTGTGGAACTTTTATACCCGGTGGACGAACCATCTTGGATTTTTTTTATCATTCGCTTGTTTCGCGCCACGGAGAAAATGTTCGACTCCGACGTCGTGCACGTCGGTTTCCTGTACGAATATGGAGATAGGAGCGGATGAAATATGTGTAAGACAGCTATTGAGTCCAGAGTACGTATATATATACGTGGATGTACATAGGTATATGTACAAGATATACAAGGTATATAGAATATCCTTTGACAGGTAGTTGACCATTGAACATTTAAATAGATATGCATTGTACCTAAATGTACTGTACATACATACCAAGAACCAACCCCAGCAACAAAGTATTATGCAATTACCCATAGCAATCTGGCGTAGCGGCAAGTGGATCTACCTTTTGCTTGTACCATGGTATGCATATATATATATATATATATATATATAACCTATCCACTAACTTCAATCCCCCCCCCCTTT